GCTCGACTCACTGGTCGTTTAGGTTTGTTGATTTTTAACTCAATTTTATTTTATTATATTTTATTTGTATTTAATTAAAAGCGTGGAGACCTGCTTATATGGAAGCTGATCAATATTTATTTGTTGATCTTGGCGCTCGATATTATGTAACTGGTGTAGCAACACAAGGACGTCGTGCAGCCAAAGAATATGTTACAGTATACAATATAATGTATTCAGATAATGGTCATAATTGGTTTCATTATACAAATGAAGATAAAATAATTGTGGTTTGTATAATTTAACAAAAAATATATTTTTGTGAAGTAGGAAAAAATTTTCTTTAGAATTTTATTGGTAATAAAAATGATAATGGAATTGTACGAAATAATTTTTCTGATCCTTTTATAACACGTTTTGTACGTTTTAATCCAAGGCAGTGGAATAATTTTATATCAATGCGTGTTGAAATTTATGGGTGTCCATTTAGTATGAATTGATTCTGTTTTTCTTTCACGATAATAAAACTTAATTTAAACGTTTATTTAGCTTCGTCATCATTTACTTTTGATGGGCAAACAATAGCTTATTATGATGCAACGTTTATTCCATTACATAATCAACAAGATGAATTACGTTTACGTTTTAAAACAAATTATCCAAATGGAGTTTTATTTTATGCTAAAGGAACACAAAATAATGATTATTTAGCTGTTGAACTTCGTAATGGAAGTATTTTTGTTGGAATTGATTTAGGTATGACTTTTGTTTTCTGTTGTGAAGAAAAAAGAAATTATAATAAAATGTTCATTTTTTGTTGTAGGTTCAACTCCTGAACGTCCAGGTGCAACGATTATTCAAGCTGGAAGTGTACTTGATGATTATCAATGGCATGACTTAGCTGTTATACGTTATTGGAAAAATGTATCTGTTAAAATTGATCAAACTGTTTTTTATGAAGAATCACAAAGTGCTTTTAATGGCTTAGATCTTGATGGAAAGGTAAGAAGAAAATAAGATTTGTACTCTGATTTTATATTCGAAAATGCTTGTTAAAATATTCTGCTCAGAAAACAAAATTAGATACATATTCAATGTGCATTCCGATTCTTTTTAGAGGATTAAATGATAGATGTTAGTTGGTTATTGAGATTTTCCTTATTATCTAAGGTGTCAGAATTTCAAAATCATAGCGAAAAACTCCATGCCGTTGAATTTTACATGATACAGCTAATAGAGCTTGCGAATGTAATTTCAAGTATCATTTTCTTTAAGCTCGTGTAACCTTATTTTCCTCAAGAAATGTTCACAGTACAAACCACGTTTCGAACGCCGATAAAAAAACTTTTATTTTGGTTCAGCATAAAGAAATTTCTAGCACAATCTTTTCTATCGGCTCTGGGGCACATTTCTTCGCCATTCTTTTACTTAATCCTTGAGAAATACAACAAGGAAGCAATTCATATATTATAATGAGACGTTATTGATATATGATCATTGGTTGTATATCAACAACGTCTATCACCGTCTGTGACTCAGGCAGATGGGATGGGGGTTGATAAGGTGTCTGACATTGTCTGTGATCTTTTCATGGTAATGCCTATCATGGTGTTGGAGAGGAGGTGAAAATTTTTACCATATATATTTCAGCACTCGTTTTAGATTTGTTTCACGAAACAGAGCATATTTGTATATATCTGACTGTATTTGATTATTGTTCCCTTGCTTAACACATTTGACAAAACCTTTTCTGAGTCTTCCGAACCTGTTTCATGCTTTATTTCAAGAGAGAGTTTCTCAAATTTCATACATCATTCGAACTACCAAGAGACAGAAAACAAACTTATGAAACGTTTTGTTTTTCGACAAACTTGCAAAATTTGAATGAGGAAATCGTCGATTGTTTCATTTTCGATAGTGTAATCATACAAAAATAGACTTGCATCAAGCAATTTTTGAGTAAGAGAATTTTGTTCAATGGCAAAATATATACGATATTCGAAAATCAGCATAAAATAACTGCATTAAATGACACATATTTTTCTGGAAAATATGTTTCGTCAAAATTACGCCCGGAGAAGGCAACGAACGAAATTATAAAAAAAAGAAACTGAGTAGGAGTACAGGCATAGTTCTGACGAATAATACGTATCATTCAACTCAGTTTTTTATTGTGATTAAAAAGCAAAAGAATCAATTTTCTTATTAGGCATTGCAGTTAGTTCGAAAAAATCCTTCATAAATTTATTTTCTGTATTTTGGAGATTTGAACAATGCTTGACATTTAAGAAAGGGTCTTTGAACAACAAATAAGATGTGTTTCAAAGATCCAGGAGTTGACCGGAACCAGAACGGTTTTTGTCAAGCTTGTTAGGCGAAGACACAATAATCAAACACACTCAAATATATATATAGTTATATTCCATTTTTTGATTATACTAAATCAGAAGAAAATAATTTGAACAGTTCTATGACTTTGAATTTTCGGCAGCTTTCTACTTCCATGTAAATAGGATCTTTTTTGTTTTACACTTGAGTTATTAGTTTCTCGATTCCGAACTTAGATTTTGTATTGAAACAGACAAAAATATATTTTTTATTGACAAATAAAGAGAATGTCATTATTGATATAATATTTGTTAATTTCGATTAACTGATTTGTTTCTTCTTTTTAGCTGTATGTTGGTGGAGCACCCAATCATATGGAACGAGGAATAACTGTTCGTCCAAATTTTCAAGGTTGTTTAGAAAATGTTTTATATATAAGTCCATCAACAAATGCTATTTTGGATATATTACTAAATTTACAAAGACAATTGCCATTTTATGGTCTTGAACAAGGAAGGGTTGGATCAGGAGCATTGTGTGAAGTAAGTTTAATATTTCATATCTTGTTTCTTTTTCTCTTAGTTTATTCATATATATTAGATTTGCAGGAAAAAGTGAGGAGTTAATAAGTTATATGAGTAATGCTGTGCTATTTGCATGATGAGAATGTATAAAATTCGTTGTCGCATGTGTATGCATGATGAATGATATTTGTTGTTATAGATTTTGTTTTAAATAACATAATCTTGTTTGTTTTTAGGATGATTCATTGAATATGCATTCATATACATTTAAAACATTTGATTCTTATCTTGAAGTGTTTCGTAAACCAGGTGCATCATCGATTGATGTTAGTTTTCAAATGCGTACATTTGAACCAAATGGAATTTTATTTTATACAAATTTATCTGAACCAAGATATTTTATGGTTGGTATTAATGATGTACCTGATCAAGATTTTTTACGAGTAAGACAAAGTTAATAAACAATATGATAAATTGATCTTTATTTTTTTTTAAAGCTGTTCCTTGATGAAGGACAATTAGGATGCACAGTACAATTAAATGGAAATAAACGAACAGTTCGTCATCGGCGAGGTAGATTATATTATTTTATTATATTTTTTCGAGTGAAAAAAATTACAAACTTGTTTTTTAGATAATTTACATGATGGACAATGGCATGAAATAAGTCTTTTATTAACACAATATCGTTTTAATATTACTGTTGATTATGAACCTGAATTTTCTAATACAAGAAATAATTTATCAACAACTGATCGTTTTACATTTAGTACAAATGGTGATCAAGTCAATCGTGAAACAACTATGAATGGTTTTGTTGGTTGTCTAAGACAAGTTATTATGAGTGGAATACAAATATTACCAAGAGATATAACTAATAATTTAACAGCTATAAGAGCAAATGATAATAGACCTAGAACTGGAACTGTTGTTAATCATGGAGTTCTTCTTGATGCTTGCGAAATGTTTGATCGTTGTACACCAAATCCATGTAGACATGGAGGAGCATGTTATCAAGTAAGATTAATTAGAAAGTTTAAATTTAACTAATGCGGAAAATATAATTAACTATCGGCTCACTAATACTGCCGTAAGTCTTTAAAAGTAGATCATCGATCTGAATTCTTTTATTCTCTTCTTACGAGAGAAATACCCCAAGTGATTAATCGTTTCTGAATTCAAACTCTGTGTATAAGGTAGATCCCAGTGAGGTATGAAAAACCCTAAAAGGATAAGGGCCCATAGGGCTTCTGTCCAAAGTTACAGCCATTTTACTGGAATTTTATCGTAAGGTACGGTATACACTAACAAATCAAATGAAGGTATTTCGACCTGAAATTTCACCCACAGATAGATCTACTTGTAACTAGAACGCTCTAAAATTTTCAACTAAAAGAAATGTTTCCTTCACAAGATATCGAGTTTCCAAAAAAAGATATGAGACGCGCATATTTCATGAATTATGAGTGATTTTTGGGAACTTGATATCTTGTGAAGGAAACATTTCTTTTAGTTGAAAATCTCAGAGCGTTCTAGTTACAAGTAGATCTATCTGTGGATGAAATTTCAAGTCGAAATACCTTCATTTGATTTGTGAGTGAATATCGTACTTTAGGCTAAAATTCCAGTAAAATGGCTATAACTTTGGACAGAAGATCTATGGGCTCTTATCCTTTTAGAGTTTTTCATGCCTCACTTGGGGTAATTCTCTCGTTAGACTTACCGAGATCTACTCGTAGTTCTAATGTGAAGTCTAACGATGACTAACAGTTGAAGATGTTTCCTCATAAACTGTTATAATTTTATTTCAATTAGAAGTTAGAATACAAATATCAATCAGCAGTTGATGTACATAAAAGTTATAGTTGCACGGTGACTGCTATAAGTCAACAACTTTCGTAGAAAACTTTCATAGCTATACGTTTAAAAGAAGTAAAAGTCTTTTAATCTTTCTATGTTAAGTGTACTTATAAATTCATTGGAAATTACTATTAGAGATCATGATAATTAATAGTTGAAACTATCGAGAATATCGTTCGAGGTAGTTCACTATTTTTGAATTTATAGTTTAGGCACATGGAGAGAGTTTGTAGACTAGAATAACTCGAAAAGAATTCGATCTCATAAGCGTTCTCTACTGGGTTATGAGAGTTTGCTTTCTTTTAGTATTATAGAGCGCCGATTATTGGCAGGAAAATGGAATAGAGGATTGTTAATTTGAAATTTTTATAGAAGTAGATCTCATAGTTCTAAGAATATCTTCAAAGTTTTAGTCAAAATAAAATGTTTCTTTCTTGACATATTCCGTGTTCAAAAAACATCATATTACAGAAAAGGTCAGGAGCTATATAGACAAAATTTCTAATCTCAAATCGTTTATTCAACATTCATATTCTATGGTAAAAAATTCCAATAAAACTTCTATAACTCTATAGAGATAGTCAATGAATCTGAATATATAAGAAGTTATGCTAGTCTTGAGACTTTCTCTATATGTTGAAATTCGATCTAGTCTATACATTGATATTGTATTCGGATGTTTATCGATGAATTCTTCTGTAAGTAGTTGTCCATTACTTCACGGATGCAAACTTAATGTATGCATTAATGATTGTACTGATTGAAATTAGAGCTCAATGGTTTCAAAAATCATCCGGAACCGGAATCGCTGTTCCGTCTTCGATTCCGGTTACTAAAAATAGAGGAAAAAGTAGTTCCCGTTTGGTCTACAAAATAGCACGGACACAGAAATCATTAAATCATCAGATGGATATAAAAAATTTTCACTATTGAATTGTTGAGATTAAAAATACCATATATGTCAGTGCTTAGAAAAAACAATATAATATATATATATGCTGAAATCTTTAATCTTAAAAATGTAGAAATGAAGATTTCTTGACATAGATTTAAGAATTTTTCTATCTATCTGATGATTTAACGATTCCGGTTCCAGTTGTTTTTTTTTGGATTCGTCGAATTCTAGTTAAAACGCTGCCGCTCTCTAATTAATCGATTAGGATTCGAATACAACACCGACCAATAGACTAGTTCGAATTTTAACATTAGTTTTGCTCCTCACTCCAAAATTGGACCTAATCTCACTTGGAAACATAACATATACAGTGAGTAACTCGAAGGATATATTCACATTTTTATTAATGGTATAAACGGCCACAATGTGTGATCTTCTTTGAGCAAAGGTATCGATGAGTTTCTCTTTTAAATGGATAATACGATGCGTGCGAAAATAAAGATGGTGAATCCCGGATATAACATTAATATTTGTGACTTGATATAGAGGGAAAACGCTTGAAATATAAATGTATTTTCCATTTGAAAACAAAAGAATGAATCTAAATAGGTTAAGAAACTGTTTTATTTCTTTTCATTAGACATGGACAAGATTTCATTGTGATTGTTCAAAAACAGGTTATAGTGGTGCTGTCTGTCATGTTAGTGATATGCCATTATCATGTCTTGATTATAAATTAAATCGTATGAAAATTGATGAAATTCTTTCTGAACGTATAACAATAATTGATATTGATGGTAGTGGCCCATTAGCACCATTTCCAGTTGTATGTCGTTCTGGTGCTAAATCCGAAATTCTTAATGTAACTGAAATAGGTCATTATCATGAATTAGAGAGTTATGTAACAAGTGGTTATCAATTACCTAATTCAATTTATTCTCAAACAATAAATTATCGCGTACCATTATTACAATTATTTAGTCTTATTGATCGTTCATATGTATGTAAGCAACATATTGAATATACATGTTTTAATTCACGTTTATTAAATTATCCAAATTCACCATATGGTTGGTGGGTTGGTCGTACAAATCAAACGATGGATTATTGGGGTGGTAGTGAAATAGGTACAGGAAAATGTTCTTGTGGTTTAGATATGACATGTGCTAATCCAAATTTATTTTGTAATTGTGATTCACAATTTACAACCGAGCTTAAAGACAGTGGATATTTAACACGAAAAGAATATTTACCTGTTCTTCGAGTTGAATTTGGTGATACAGGTAGAATAGAAAAAATTATTTTCTTTGTTTTTTTTTAAAATATATTTTAAATTAATATTTCTTCTCTCGTATTAAAGGACCAGTTGGATCACCACAATATGGTCGATATCAAGTTGGCCGTCTTTATTGTGAAGGTGATTTACTTTACGATAATATAGTTACATTTCGAAAGGCTGATGCAATTATAACAGTACCACCATTTGAAGCTAAGGTAGCTGGTGATATACGTTTTCAATTTAAAACTGGTTTTGATTCAGCTACATTTGGTTCAGCTATTATTGTACAAAATGTTGGATATGATAATGGAGATCTTATTGAAGTAAACTTTGTTTTCTCTAGATTGTTTATTTAAAATTTTACTTTTGTTTTTAAGATTCGCCTTCAAGCACCACGTGAAATAGCATTTCGATATAGTGTTGGTCGTGGTACAAACATAATAACAATTCGTGCACCATATGATTTTAATGATAATGATTGGCATACTGTACATCTTGAAATCAATCGACAAGAAGCAAGATTGACAGTTGATGATTTATCAGCTACTAATCCAGAAGATCAAACAACGTTTCGTCATATACGTTTAACATCAAATTTAACAATTGGTGCATCTGTTACAAATCGAAATGGTTTTGTTGGATGTATACGTGCATTTCAAGTTAATGGACAATTAATGGATTTAAAGTCACAAGCATTACGTGGTATGTATGGAATATCACCTGATTGTATTGGAAAATGTCAAAGTAGTCCATGTTTAAATGGAGGACGATGTAATGAACGTTGGTCAACATATGATTGTGATTGTACCTTTACACCATTTCGTGGACCTATTTGTTCAACAGAAATTGGAACACGATTAGAAGCAAATACAATGATTAAATATACATTTCCTACACAGGGTAAATACACATGTTTATTTTAAAAGAAAAAAGATAAGACTCCATTTTTGTACAGGTGTAACTGCAACTGAAGAAGAAACAATTCGTGTACTATTTACAACTTATAAAAAACAAGGTATATTAATGCAATTAAAATCTGATAGAGTTGATGAGAAAGGTATGATTGATTATTTTACACTGGAAATGAATAATAATGGTGGTGTACGTGTCAAGTTTAATTATGGTTTTGATACATTTGAATATAATGTTCCATATGATTTAACAAATGGACAAAATCATGAAGTCATTGTAACGCGCCGTAATCAGGGTAAACTTATTGTAGTTAGTGTTGATAATTATGAACCATACATTGATGTATTTCCTCAAACGCAACAAATTGATATGCAATTTGATAGTCCACGTGTTATGTATATTGGAAGAAATGAAACAACACCACCTGAAGAAGGTTTTACTGGTTGTATTTCTCGATTACAATTTAATCGAATATTTCCATTAAAATATGCTTTTTTGGAAGAACGCGATCCAAGTATAGCATGGATTGGTGGAAATATTCGGTAAATTAAAATAAATAAATAAAATAAAAGATAAAATTATTTATTGATAATTAGGGAATGGCCATGTGGTACAGAGCCTGTAAAATATCTACCTGAACCTCTTGAAATTCCACCTGATCGTGGATTTAGTATACTTGGTTCGTTAGTTTTTGTTTTCTTTTAATAATTAAATAATTTTTTAAAATTCGTTTCTTAAGCATTACCACGTCCAATTTATAAACAAAATGTTTACGCAAGAAACTTAGGTCTTATTCTTGGTTCGATGGGCTTTCTTTTACTACTTCTTTTTGTTGGACTTGGAATATGTTATCAGAAATCAAGTAAAAGCGGACACTATAAAACAAAAGAAGATAAAGGTGCTGATCAAGCAATTGATGCTGATACAGCAATAATAAAAGGCGATCCACGTCATCCAGATTTAACTGAGCCAAAAGAATGGATTTTATAATTTTTTTTTTGTATTTACTATCGCTCAGTAATGTAGATTTCAAAACGCTCACAGTTATTCTATATATATGCGATTATTTTGCTTTTTTTTGTATAATTATCAATTCACTTAGAATTTCATTTTCTTAATTGTATTGTATTTTTTTTTATCGTAAGTCTTCTTTTTGTATGATCAGAAGTTTTTTTTGCCATAAGAAAACAGTATATAATCGTTTCATTCATTCTTTCTTTTTTTAATTTGGTAATAAAAAAAGACGAATCTCAAAAAACGAATTTTTTTTTCTTGAATATTTTAGAATGGTTTAAAGAAACTATATTATTTACATGGATGATTTGGAAATATCACTACATGGAGTAATAAGAAAAACGATCAGAAACTGAAGAGCAAAAATACTAAACGTCTTACTCAATGAATACTTATGATAATTGAAGATTATAATTACAAAGATGAACGTTCGAATAAAATAAATATCTGTCTAGTTAACATCAAAAGTTAATTCAGATAGAATAAGTTTGTTTTTCTATTCATGATATAAATTTTAGTATGTATTTTATTTTCTTCTTTTAGAGTTTTATTTCATTGATAAGAACTTGTTATGAAACGATTATCGTAAATATAGACAATCAATCAGATAAATATAAGAAGAGAAGAATTTTGATTTTAGTTTATCATTTTCCTTTTCTCTTAGATGATAATGATGAAGAAAGATTTTGTTATACCAGAAATCACTTAACAAAATCTATCTTTTTATGTGATAGAATAGTGCTTTAAATCTTGACTTTTGAAGTCATCATAACATAAATTTATAGAGCTATATTTTCAAAGGTTGACGTTTAAAAAGTGCAGAAACTTTTTCTGTACCCCAGGAAATGATTTTGCTAGTAGACAGGTAGCCGTAGGTACGTTTTAGTACCTAAAAGATTCTTTTCATTATACACTATTTCTATGACCATCTGTCTTATCGTAACCTATGATTATACTCATGAGCATCCTTTCTGGTCCATTTGTTTTACAGAATTTAAAATATTAACTTAGAAATTATGCATGTCACATTTTATTATGTTTTACGATTTCGATTTAAATCTTTCTTTATACTACTTTCAGAATCCTTGATTCTATAAAATTAGATAAGAAAGCGTAAACAATGGAGGTTGTTTTCTTTTTTGAAATTTGAACATTTTAGCCAGAATTTAGTCTGAGATGTAAATTGACCTTAATCTCTTTTTCTTTTGACTCTCGATGACAGTGATAGATTGAGATACATATAGTTCACTGCAACAGCTGCGACTCTATTAGTAATATTCTCGGAAAAATATAGATTAACTTATGATACATGTACTCCAGATAGTTTCTATTTTCTCTCATATAATTAATTTCCTATAGGACTTATATTTCAGTACTAACTGTTTACGAACATTTTCTTGGATTCATCATAAAACAAGTTCATTTTTCGTTGTTAAAAGCGAAACTTTTATGAATTGATTCATTATATTTGGTTTTGAAAAAAGCTTTTAGATGAATTTATTTTTTTCTTTACTCTAAACAATAAACAATGACTGTTTTTTGTCTTGATATTTTACTACATGGAATTATTCCAGCATTAACTGGTGGTTTTTATTATGATCTATATACTACACCATTGGCTAACACTGTACATATTTATTTATGGATTTGTTTTATGATACTTCCACTGCTCTTATATCTCGTATGTTCTTCATTTATTTCTAACAGATGTATTAAGAGAGAAATCGTGAGACCATTGGGTATACGAGCCACTTGATGAAAAAACAATTTTTCTTTTTGTGCATTTAATGCATTGATGTCTGAAGTCATTAACCACAACATTTTAGCTTCCAATAGTATTTTTTCAAAAACTAGTCAATACCGACTTTTTAGTAATAAGGTATATTCATGAAAAAAAAAGAGTTCCATATAAAAGTTGTGCTCGTTTTTGTTTCAACGAATCATTCAAATTGACTCAAGTTTTATTAGGTCAACATGAATGAAAAATGGTTTTAAAAAGTCTAAGATGTCCACTTTATAACAATATATTTTCTGCTAAGATTCAGAATCAGAGAATGTCAAGTTGAATTTCATATATGTTATACCACTTTTTGTTCTCGAGAAAATGATATGTTCAGGGCGAAACAGAATTAACGTAGCTCGTCTATATGATGATTTAACAATAGAAAAAAAACATTTTTAGAGATTTTCATTGCCATAACACGATTGTAAAGTAAAATAAATATGATATTTGGAATCAGTGTCAAAAACTTCATTGAATCAAGCACATTTCACATGATTTTTTTTTCCAGCGAAAAAACCGATTCGTGCTGAGTTCATGAGACAAATTTTTAATATAAGACAGCTGTGGGCGACCACAGGTGTTTTTTTCACAGACAAAATTTCTCTATAATGTATTTCATATTAATTCCTAATATCACATTTATTCTGCTTTACAAGTGTGTTACGGCAACGAAAATCTCTAAAACTGTTTTCTATTGTGAACTCACTATGTAGGAGAGAGATGGAAACCCCGTTTTGCCTCGAACATAGCATTTATTTTTGAATATTGTTTTTAAACACTTTATAGAGTCTTATGAAAGCTCTATTAAAAATGTGTATATTGTTTTCTTTTAGTTTACACCAATCAGTCTATTATCATTTTATATTTATCCGTTAATAATAGGAATATTATTTTCTATTATTAAGTTCCTTAATTATCGTTTACATAAATTTTTTGATTTGGCTGTAAGATGTGATGATACAATTGTTGATAATAAAAAATCTACAATAAATATCAATGATGATGTTGAAGAAGAACGTAAATTACTCAATCAACGTACAACAGTTGATGCTCCTTTATCAGAAACACAGTATATTTTTATTTTATTGATCTTAAGAAATATTTCGTTTTTTTTAAATTTTATTCTAAATTTCTATAGACCATTATGGATTGATTCTTTATATGGTAGTAATAATAGCAATTTACCATCTATGTACGATGAATCATGTACTCATATACGACGATCAAATGTTACAACAACAAATGATTGTCATACTTCAACATTATCTCCGCCAGCTGTTCTAACACAAAAATCCAATGATCAAATAAATGAAATACCAAAATATTCTTTAACAAATGTTATTTTACAAGGACCTAGCCTTCAAGATACATGTGTATCAGATTCAAAATTATGTCAAAAGCATGAACAAAAACCAATAAGAAAAATTTATCAAGAAAAAAATTCTATTCGTCGTGTACAATCAGATTTTTATGTTATATTAAATAATAATGATTTAATACAATCAAATATAGCCCAATCATCTTCAATAAATAATAATAATCGTTTGAATAAAAAATCAAAATCTATGGAAAATAATCTTAATCAAATACGAACAAATAATAATCAAGAAAATTCATCAGTTATAGAAAAACATGAACAAATTCTTGAAACTAAATCGGTACGATTTTCAATTGTATTAAATAAGAATATTGATGAAAGTTAAATATATGTAGCATATCAGTTGAAATTAAAATAATATCTTGTAATGTTGTAATCAAAAGAATACATTAGTAAATAATCTTTAAAAATATCATCAATATATAAATAAGAAAATTTATTTAGTGATAATTTGATTTCTTTTTTTCCTCTTCAATTCAATATATTACTCAAGAGTTAATTTTGTTATGAGAACATTAGATGATTGGTCAGATTGTAATAATTAGTAAACATTTATGTTACACGTTTGCTCGCACTACTGCCGGTATACTGCTGAATCTTTCCTTCTCCTCTAATCGAGAACCCTGATCAATAGTTGATAAGTATTCATCTATGAAAGACAAAGCGTTCAGACATGTTTAGAAAAAGTCTCAAAACAAGTTACATATGAATAAAACTGAAGCTTCTTAAAACAAGAAAAAAAAGGAAAAAATTGATATGACATTATCAGTTTTAACCAAATCAGAACAGATGCTACTAAAATATTTTTGTTCACAAAAAAAAAAAATCATTTTTCAATATATGTTTCTAAATAGGAACCTCAAGCTGAAGCATGCTCAACCGTTGATATTCCAATAGATGATTGGCGTCCAATTTTACAAATTCTTGAAAATGTTTTTGCTGATGATGATGAAACATCTGATATGATTACTGAACAACCTGAGTCACTTGAACCATTATTACCTAATAAAAAATCTTATTCCAATGATCATCGATATTCAACAAAATTAAATGAACAACAAAATGATAATCAAGATGAATCAAATATTCCAACTCGTTTTCGTCGTACACATTCAAGTCAAGGTCGACGAAGACGTCGAACATCACGTCGTGCAACATGTGAGTTAATTGATCAAAAACAAAAAAAAAACAAAAGATGAAATCATTTAATTCTATTTCTGTTATTTAGCTGTTGATCAACGTCAATTATATTTTAATGGTGAACATACATCAAATCATCATCTGTCACCATCATCGTCATATCGACGATCAGCTTGTCTAATGAAAGGTATTATTTATTATTCTGTAACATACGATCTAAAACAACTGTTAAAGTATAGGGATAAAAATTTAGACTTCTCCAAATCGCGACAGGCACTAATCAGAGACTATCACGAAACGCAACAGATTTTGTTGATATACGATTAAAGATCGCATATCGACAACATCTTATTGTGATATATGAAGTACTTTGTTGTTGTATTTCTCGAAGATTAAGTTAAATGATGATGATAAGATGTGTTCCAAAAAAGATAGAATAAAGTAATCTTTCTGTAATTAGTGATAGCAGCTACATTGTATTTCACATTTTAATTTCGCACGAATTGTGCTAATAGTTTTTATATACCAAACATAATTTTTGTTTTAGAAACTTGTTTCGATGAACGAACATCAAATTATGATTGTAAATTCTTAATAATTAAATATTATTAATGATCGAATTCGGTTTTTTTTGTAGCCTTACGTGATGAAACTAGTCTACGTGATGATTCATTAACAACAACACCATCCGAAGAATCATCACAATTATTAGTACGTACAACTGAACGACCTCGTTGGATACCTGTTTATCGACAAAAGTATTTTGTAGTAGATTGTTTTCTTTCGTTGTCATTTTTCTTTTTGTTTATAGTCAATATGATCAAGATTCATCATCACAAATTATTGATGAAGTCGAATGGCATAATGAAACAAGTCCAGGAACTGTACATTATTTTCGTGATGAAAATGGTTTGGGAAAATGTTCTTAATTTAATTTATGAAATGTTTGTCTTTTGAATTTAGGAAAACTTTTTTCTTATGTTTTTGGTGATGCATCATGTCAAGCACGTATGGAAACATCAGATCCAAAACCGTTAAGGTTTTCACTTTTCTGAAATAAAGATTTTTTTTTAATATTATATTCTTTTGGTTTCTATTAGTGATACAATTACACGAAGCATTAGTGATGAAACGGAAGCAACCGTTGAACAAATACCAAGAGGACATATAACACCTCCACAAACTCCATCAACAACAATTCAACAAAATCATGAATCTTGTTCATTTTTTGGTGGTCGTCGGCGTCGTCATCATCATCATCGACCACCACATCGATCACGACGATATGAAGTAAAATAAATATTCGACAAGAAATCTAATTATATATATATATATTGTTTTTCTCTTTTTATTGATTGCTTCATCAACATCGGGACGACCTGTTATTATAAGTGATGAAACACGACGACAAATATCGAGTAGTATTGATGTTACAACACAAGAACAGCAAACACAACAACGTGAACATCAAACAAGAATTAAACATCGATCTGTAAAAGGACAAACCTATCGATTAAAATTATTTAATAGAAATATTATTGTTCCATTTGATCGTCTTTGGTTATTAACTGTCTTTGATAGGTATAAAAATAATTAAATCGGTTTTTTTTTCTAAAGGTTATACTTGCGGAATAAATTTATTAGCGGATGTTGAAATTGAGTTTTGCCGGAAAGTTTTCGATAAGAGATGTTGAGGAAAGAACTTTCGGCCTTCAGTGCCAGTGACGAAAACCACGGAAATGAGAAATTACTGACATGGGAACCTGATCTATTAGAAAGACAGTTGTTCGAATCGAAACTAAAGATTACAGTTAAATATTCTTTATTTTTAAACATGTTATCTTATAAATCATATCAATCAAAGCATCATTCAAGAGAGACGAAATTAAACAGTACTAGTCGTCGACTAACTATTACATAAAAAGAAATGAGTATTAAAGAATGTTTTTAGATTTTGGCATCAGGTCAATTTTATCGGGATCGAAATGGAAATATGATTGAAAAAACTTAATCTTGCACATCTCTAAGTTGTGATAAAATATTCTTGTTTATCACTGTTTTCTACAGAGAAGAACAGAAAAGTCAATAACAGATAAAACATGATCTTTTCTTCATACATAGCGATGTACACTGTCTGTGTAAATACCGAAACATTGAACAGTAAGCCATCGTGCAGTTTCTACCGAAGCACTGACTAAACTAGCATGTGGGTTCGCTGAAACATAGAGATACTGAGTCGATAACGTCAGTGGTCAGTAAATTGAAACTGTACATCCTATAATCTAAAAATGTACAGAACAAGTTTTTTTTTGGTTTCGACCTTGGAAAATATTATTTTATTATATCCCTCTAAAAGTCAACATAGACTAAAAATTTCAGTAAAATGGCTGTAAATTTGCAGGTTAGGCCTAGGAGCCCTTATCCTTTTGAGGTGCTTAGTACCTCATTAGGGTCTACTTAATCCACAGAGTTCAAGCTCAAAAGCAGTTTTCATGTTGGGAAGATTTTCTCGTCAGACATTGGGTTATAAAGCTGATAGTTTCAAATTATTCATCCAAAAGAAAAACCTGAACGCCTAAATAAGAAAAAGACAAAGATCACTTTTGACTTATTGTTTTTTCGTTTAATAGAGATCGATCAATAACTGAATGTATTTTATGTATAATCTTGGCTATTATTGTTTCAATAATTGGTATACATGTTCTTTACAATGATATTTATTATGACTTAGAAATTCTTGTTTATTGCTGTGTTATTGCTGCATCTCAATATTCTTTATTAAAAAGTTGTCAGCCAGATGTGAATACACCTGTTCATGTATACATTTCATTTATTTATTTATTTATATTTTAATTTCATATTGAATTTTTGTCTTCTTTCTAATATAGGGCTTTAATCGTAATACAGCAATAAGTCGTGCAATATATTTTTGTTTATTTTCAAGTTTATTATTAATAATATATAAATTAAAAACATTTTCATGGCATTTCATATTATTCGGAATAACATTTTCAAATATAATTGTATGTTATATGATCTATAATATTCTATCAATTATATTATTATGTTTACCAATATTATTTCTATTTGGTCTACTACCACAATGTTCAACATTTTTTCTTTGCATACTTGAAAATTTTGATATGCATTTATTTGGTGGTACAGCTATGATTAATATACCTGGAGCTTTATATAGTTTTATATTATCAATAATTAATTTTATCATTCTATCAATTATTGGATATTATGGATTATTAATTGATACATCAAAAGTAAATGATTTTCTTCAAGTAATAATATCATATTAAATACTAATTCGTTTATTTATATAGGATCATATGCAAAATATATTATTTTCAATATATTGTGGTTTTACAGTTAGTATTTGTTATAAATTAAGTCGTGGTTCAACTAATCCAAATGTTTTGTGGCATATAATTAAATATGACTTACTAAAAATAAACCGAATATTAATTAAAAATGAAGAAATACAAGATCCATTGCCAGATAAATTAAAATCAATTGTAAAACAACGATTACAGTCAGATATTCTTCTTTGTTTTCTTATATTTATTCTTGTTTTTGCTGCACATGCTTCAACAACATTTACAAGTCTTCAAGTACGTTAAATTTATTTTTCTTTAATGTAATATTTTATTTTTGTATGCATATTATTTAGCCAATACTTAATTATATAATATGCTCCATCGTTATTGCCTTGGGCATTTTATTTCATTATATATTACCACAACTTCGTAAACAATTACCATGGTTATTATTTAGTGAACCACTTATTAAACAAGCAGATTATGCATTATTTGAACCAACAGGTAGAAATAAAAAAAAATAAAAAATTCAATTCAGAAGATTAGAATAATTGACTTTGTTTTTTTGTGTATGTTTTATATTTTAGAAGCAACAAAAGTTTTATTTATTGAAAAATTATTTGTATGGATTGTTTTTATTGAAAAAAATATTCTTTTACCATGTACTTATCTTGGTGCACTTTCACATTCGGCACCAATTGTTATTAATAAGTTTGGTCTATTGTAAGTGAATTATAGGAAAAACAAATAGTCTTTCGAAATATAAAAAAGATGACAATTATTAGGATCAGTAAAGAATGATGTAAACAACATCATACATATGAGGTAGAGTCTGGCGAAAGGAAAGCAATTGATAGATAATTACACTCGATAAACTAGAGTGAAGGATTTTTTTCGAACAAGTATATTATCTATTAGAATGGATTAATGAAAAATGTAGATTGATTAATTATTTATAGTTTATCTGAGCCAAAAAGTTTTAAAGTATCCTCTTGAGTGCAGTCCTGGCTTTGCTCCAAAACGCATTTTCAATTCTTCATTTGCTAGATGAAGTGTAATATCTTGATATAAGCAAGAGGATCCGATCAGGACAGGACCCGAACTGAAAATGATTGGTCCCGTTCGTCATTAGTAATACCAAAGGATTTCTCGGAAATGTTCTCAAAATAGAGACTGAGATCATTAGATATTCAATAGCAACTGCTAGGATTTGTTTTTGTTTTGGGGGATTTATCTATAAATTCCCTTGTACATCTTATCACGAAATGATGAAAATTATGCTGAGAGTGAGAGCGAGAACGATACAATGGGACCAGAGACCAGGTGAGGGCTGACACTTCAGAATTATGTCTTTCTTTTAATACAGTTCAAATGTTTTATATGCTATGGATACATTAATCTAGATAACTTTTATGGTTCCGATAAATCTCGAAAAAATAAGTTCCGATACTCCTTCCTTTAATTTCTTCTCGCCTTTCTCAAAGCCAGTTTAACCATTTAACAATTGTATTATGAGATGGAGCTTGATCATCGAAAATAGAATATAATTCATAATTAGTTCAGTACGCACCAGGAACAGCGAAGCGTTTTGAAAATAGGTGAGGCTCAGTGGAAGTTTACTTGCTATGCTAAAATAACTTCTCACATATCCGGATGAGGCAAGTTGAGCATGGGTATGTGGGTATGAATTTCGATGAAGACCAGACACAGAACCACTCAACCACCTATACCCACTACATATTATGACTATATTCCATTAAATAAAATGACGAGAATGATTATCTCACAAAAGAGAAAGACGGACCCGACGATATAGCTAGTTTTGGTATATATTGATCACATAATTCGACGATTCGTGTAGTCTGTTTTATTTAGTATTCTTTGTTACAACATATAAATAAATGTATTAGAGGTTTCAATCTCTACATTAACATACGATTGAACTTATCAAACAAAGCAAAACTTGTGTGCGACTAAGTCTCAAAGTCGGAATTCAGATGATGCTTAGCCTAATAGTGTCAAATTTGGATGAGGCTCAAATCTCGTTCACCCAATACGCTCCACCCCCAATGGTACGCATATTTATGCAGTTATGAGAGTTTTACTTATTCATTTAAAAATAGAGATATATAGTTTTTATCAAAGTTTTTTGAATCATAATATCACTTTTTTTTTTATATTATGCTGATGGATGTAACACTCGGAAGTACTTACATAAAGAGAAAAAGAAAAAAAAGAAAATTGAGTAAAGCATTACATTTATGCATCTTTCTGTGATATTAATTCGNATTAAATATTTTATTTCAATTTTTTTCTTTGTACCAATTGGATCAAATACATATTGATATAAATGACATTTTTCTTTATATAATTTTAATTTATTTACTATTGAACGTGATAAATCAATTGATATTGACATACGATTTAGATCTTTTTTTGTTATATATAATGGCAATCGATATGTCGGACAATTATTAATAAATTGTTGTTGATGATGTTTATTATTATTATTATTATCTAAAAATAGATCTGGTCGTTGTTCAGCATCAATAAGTAAACTTTGTTTAAGATAGATAGGTAAATATTTAATGATATTATTAAGCCATTTTGTATAGAGTTCTTCTTCATATTCTTTAAGTGCAATGCCTATTTCCATAAATCGATGTTTTGCAGTTGTACCTTGTTCGGATTGAAGTAATCGATCAATTGAACGAAATTTAATCATGGGAAGTTTTATACGTGTAAATAAAAAACGAGTCCATTGAATAGCACCAGCAATAGGTGGAAAACCCTAATAAATTGATTATTTGTATTCGATATTATTAAAGTAATGGCAATTCGAAATTTCAACAAAAAAATATTTTTGCATTTTCTTGTCATAGTCGGATTACAGCTCGTCAAGTTATCTACAAAAGTGTTGTTTGCTTTGTGAAACTTAGGAAAGTTAGATTTAAAAAATCAGAAAAGTCAATAAAATTTGGCATATGCTAGAAGCATCAAGTTTCAATATTGATTTCGAACTTTTTTGATTTTATTCGTTATATAGATAGACAAAAAAAATTTTGCATGCTTTTAGAAGACGATTATTTCACTAATGAGAATATCGATTTTTTTTTCTGGGAATTTAATTTTGAGTTTTTCTCTACTTCAATATGGGCTTAGCATGTTGCTGTTTAGACCATACAAAAGAGGACCTAGATAATAGTACCCTATGAGCTTTGGGTTGGTAGCGCAGCGCTCGACCTAATCCACTGTTGCTTATGCCATTAGTTTTTTTATTACGATAGTGAAGAAAACTCTAGCTGAACTCTAGTGGATTGAAACTAACATGTTCCTAGCGAATCAGATCTTAATAAATGATTGCTTCACTATCCTAAAGACAACAGATATTGTTATCCGAACTGATCAAGGACTCTCTCTTGGTTTTTCTCCTACAATTTTCTGCTGAGTTCATATTGCAGAAGAAAAAAACTCAAAATTAAGTGATATTTATATATATTTAGAATAAATATTGATAATACCGAGATTTAATGTGTTGGAGATATTTCAATTTTTAAAGGCTAGTTTTTTATTTTACTTGTTTAACCTACGTCTCAATCTATATTTTCATAGGTAATTCGACGAAATTTATCCAAAACGTCAAAATAATTGTTTAAATTTCTAATAGCCGGCACTTCACATGACAAAAAATAGCTCAATATTTACTTTAAATATAGGTGGATTATCTTTATATTTAATAAAAAGATCATCAATTTCATCAATTTCTTTACAATATTGTAAAAGAATAGCAGTAAATTGTTGAATCATTTCATATGCTAAAATATGAGTTGTATCAATCTGTTGAAATTTCATAAGCATATCAAGTGCAGTTTCAGATGAACGCAATTGAGTAAAAGAAGCATGTATAAAAATTTTTGCTTCTTGTTCAATAATTGATGAACGATATTTAAATTCTTCAATAAATGAATACCATTGTTGAGAATTTTCACGATTAAATATATCAAAATGACATGAAAGAAATGTTTCTTTTAAATCAGATACATGTTCAAGTACACGATCAACCATTTGTTCTTCAACTGTAACAATTTTCATTTCTAATCCAAATATATCATAAAATTCATTTAAATTTGATAACATTTGAATTAAATCATCACATATTTGTGACATATAATCTGTTTTATCAAAAAGTATACGATGTTCAAAATTCCATGTTGAAAAATTACGTTTATCATTTTCAAGTTTACTTCGAGTATTTTGATATTCGATTTTCCATTGAAGTAATAATTGTTTTGCTTGATAACAAATATTTTTAGCTTCATTTAATGTATTTGATGAAAGTAAAGTTCTTATATCAATTGTTTGTCGTACACGATTGATAATTTCATTGGCAATTTTTTCCATTAATGGAACAAAACGTTCATCTTTATTATAATGTTTTGACATTGTCCTAAACAAAAAATAAAAATAATTATCTACAGATTTGTTTTTTTTTTCTAATAATTATAATTAAAGTTATAATAACTTCAGAACTGAAAATTCAGATCGATCTTCTAAATCTACTGAATGCTTGTAAATCATAACACATGTCCAACATATTCTCATTTGAATCTTTCTCAACCATCTCTAATTGAATGAGATTGAGAAGAAATATCAAACCTTGAGAATAGAAGTCAACAAATTCAGTTCATGAAAATGAGTTATCCAAAACAATTTTTGTTTAATTTTTGAGAACGGTAGTCCCAGGTTTCAAAAAACATTTTTAGGCAGCACAATTTCAAAAAAATTAAATTATTAACTGGATTTTTCATGGATTAACCGAATATCGTCAGTATCGTGCATTAACTTCATCTTTGAATGAAATGAATCTTAAGGTAAGAATAACGTTTACAATTGGAAAATCATTTTTCTCTGACTTCAACTTTTTTGATTGCTTTTGTAAGCCGTTGTGTTCTGACAGTGTTTAGTTTATCATATCTTTATCGCTCTTAAACTAATATTCTTTTTTTTCCATATTCGATTTATTTTCTGTTTTAATAATTCTCGATGCAAACGAGAGTGGTTTTCATAAAAATTTAATTCGTCAACAAAATTAGCTATTTTTTTCTCGGTGGGAGTGTTTTAATTCGGAGCTGAAATTAATGCATGACACCAGTTATCTCTAGTTAACATAATAAATATTCAAACAATCATAGAATAATTGTAAAATCATACATAATCCAAGGTGTTATCTTTAGTAATTGAAATATAACGAGCAGTTACTTTACTTTAACACATATTATTGTACCTTTTCTTTGTCAAGTTAGTTCTACGCTATCATTTATTAGTATAGAAATATTTATTATACAAAAAACCAATCAGGACTGCTGCAGTCAGTTACAGCTCCATAATGGATTCGGAATTCAACAGAAGTGAAATCGAAGCGCTTGAGAAAACCTTTCTTTCAGAGTCAATATCAGATTGACAATAGTAAAACAATTGAGGTGTTATTCTTAAAAAAGGAACAAAAAAAATAACATTAAAGAGCTATACTAAAGACAGAACAAATAAAGAATATTCGTTTTGATATTTTCTTCATTCTTTTTCTTTTGTTTCTTACCATATTGTTTTTAAACCTTGCATTAAATTAGGTAACATATTAATAATAGTTTGAAAAGATTTAGTCATTTGTAAAGTTTTTAAATGTCTTTCAATTGTTAATAAGAATTTATAATTATCTGTTGCTTCTAA